TCTCCATCCTGGCGATGCTTCTTCCACGCCGTGCTGCCTGGGCTGGGTTTTCAGGTCACTGCTTCAGCGAGTACTAACGCACATCCACACACGCAAGTGGATCTGACGGTGCAAGGGGGGACCATGGCAGCCAGAGAGGGCCCCCCGAGCTCTCCCTTCAAGAATGAACTTGCCACTAAGCTGCACCCGGCGCAGTTAGCAGACATGGTCCAGCTTCTTGAGCCACCCTGGTTTTTTAGCTGAAGCCACACTCTTCTGGGGCGGCTCCTGCCAATGACTGAGCGTGAAAAGGGCGCTAGGAACTGGCCATTTCTGTCTAATGAAAGGATTCCCTCACAGCAGTCCTGGCCCCAGAGCTCCCTACTGGGGTGTTGAGGACTTTTCGAGATCCGTGTTGAGATCTGAGGCTCTTCCTGCCTCCTCCCCTTGTATCATTCACAGGTCTTAACCCCCAATAAGCCACTCGCACTTCTAACCCTATCTCAGTGTCCTGGACAACCCAATTGACAGACACCACCTCTAAAACAAATCTCCAATCCATCCCCTTCTCTGCCGAGAACACTCCCTCCTTCCCCAGCCTTCTGCACGGCTGGTTCCCGGGTCACTCAGGTCTCAGCTCCAGCGCAGGCCTTTGCTGACAACCGTAGGAATAATGCCCACCTCCCAGCTCCACCCCCCCACCCTCCTGTGACTTTCTATAATATCACTTTTAAATTTTTTGTAGTTCTCATCACTATTGTAAATTAACGTGCTTATTTAATTATTCCTTTGTTTGCGGCCGGCCTCCCCACTAGACCATGAACTCTGTGAGCTTGTCTCAGTCACGGTTCACCCAGTGCCTGGCACAAAGTATGTTTCGAAACCTGTTTTTTGAATGAAGAACTATATTTGTTGTTTATGAGAGAATTCCCTTACCCTAACCTAAGAAAAGAATGAAAGTGAAAAAAATTTAAAAACCTAGGAGACATGAGACTTCAGAGGGAAAATGCAGGGACTATCGTAGGCTTATGGAAGGTCCCCAGGGAATAGGTTTCTTTTTTTTTTTTTTTTTGAGACAGAGTCTCACTGTGTTGCCCGGGCTAGAGTGCCGTGGCTTCAGCCTAGCTCACAGCAACCTCAAACTCCTGGGCTCAAGCAATCCTTCTGCCTCAGCCTCCCAAGTAGCTGAGACTACAGGCATGCACCACCATGCCCGGCTAATTTTTTCTACATATTTTTAGTTGTCCGATTAATTTCTTTCTATTTTTAGTAGAGACGGGGTCTCGCTCTTGCTCAGGCTGGTCTCGAACTCCTGAGCTCAAACAATCCGCCCGCCTCGGCCTCCCAGAGTGCTAGGATTACAGGCATGAGCCACCGCCCCCAGCCAGGAATACGTTTCTGATCATCCCTTGAGGAATCCTGTGTTAGGATTAAGGGGGGTCCTTCCCACAGCCCAGAAAAGATGGGCTTTGGGACCTCTCTGTCCTTACCTTCCCCCCACTCCCGCCATCTCCAACGCTACCTGCGAAGGAACTAGTTCAGCAAACATCCACCAAGAAGCTACCCTGGGTGGGCTTCATGCTGCATGCTGGGAACAGAGATGAGTCAAGGAAGATGGAGAGGTGGCATTCCAGGCAAGGGGACAGCATGAACACAGAGAGAGGAGACACTCTGGTGCCTTTGGAGCATTATGCACAGTTCGGTATTGCTCCAGGCAGTGAGGGATCGGACCCGAGGCTGGAAGAGTCAGCGGTGTTCAGATCACCAAGAGCCTTGCAAGCCCAGAGAAGCTAACATAGTAAGACCCCACATTTATCGAGGCGTTCCACACAGTACTATTACTCCACAGTTTATAGATCAGAAAACCGAGGCACAGCAAGGGTGTCATGCCCCACAGGGCAATGCAGAGGACCCTGGATGGATACTGTACGCACAATAGATCTGCATCGCAGCCAAGAAACCACACACGAGTTTAGGAAACCCCAATCTTTTATGATGGACTACAAGCGAATCTGCCCAACCTTTGCCCCAGAGACATCAACTTTATTATCCTGGTCAGCAAACAAACCTGCCCTCTGGTCCAGAGGGGAACACTAGCTCTATTTTCCAAGGCTGTTCACCAAACAAACATCCTTGAAAAAATAGTCCTGAACAAAAGCTGTCACTGCCTCTGTTCACAAGATATGCAGAAACACCAGAGACCTATTAATTGTCTTCCAACATTAAATAGCTTGCCCAGGGTCGTGCAACTGGTAACAGGTAGAGACAGGATTTGAACTAGGCTTTCTGGCTCCAGCACCCATGCCCTTGATCATGAAGAAATACTGCCTTTTAAGGAGTTTGGACTTTATTCCCTAAAAGATGGGGCGCTACCATCTTTTACAAGCAGAGGAGTGACATCCTCATATCACAGGTTTAAAAGTCATTCTAGGGGATAAAGAGACCAGTTTAAACAAGATTCGACTCCAGCCTCTGGACCACTTATTCAACTGTCGCCAAACTCTCACAGGGTGACTTAGGTAAAGGTGGCACCATTTGGTGCTCAGGTCACAGTGGCTCTCCTTCTCTTGGCCGCAACCCCCTCTCTTGGCCTCTCCTGTCCTTCCCTGAACTTCCTATGACAGTGTCTCCTGGGGATGTTATCTGTGTGATTCTGTCTTTGCAGAACACGTGTAGTTGTACCAAGTCCCAATGCTCCGTGCACCCCCAGGACTTCCGGGGGACACACCGCCTGCCTTTGCCTTCAGAGAGCCTGGCCCATCTCTCCATCCTGGCGATGCTTCTTCCACGCCGTGCTGCCTGGGCTGGGTTTTCAGGTCACTGCTTCAGCGAGTACTAACGCACATCCACACACGCAGCTCCTGGGTTTATTGTATGCAGAGTTTGCATTTGCTTCACTCCTATTTTACAACTCAGGTCTGGACAAAAATCCCTGACTCCCAGAAGTGGGGTGAGCAGCAGGGACATCGTTCTGATGGGGGTTGGAGGGAGCGGGTAGGGCACATGCCCAGGACCCCTCGACAAAATCCCAGTGGCCGGACAGGGTCCCCCAGGGCTGTTACCTCCTCAGAAATGTTCTGGTCCCTCCCCATCAGCAGCACTATGTGAAGACCCCTGGAGACCACAACAGTCACCATGGTGGTCCAGAGACCCTGCTGTGAGCCTTGCTGCAAGTCCAGGATGCAGGCTTGGAAGGGAGACAGCTGTGCACCCTCCCAGCCCTGAGAATCCATACTGGTCAGGAAAGGCCTCACGGAACATTGGTGCTGGAGCTGAATTGTGGAGGATAGTAGGATTCTTCTTAAAAGTTTTTAGTTGCAAAGTTAATTTTCAACAAAATATATATAGACGTTTTTGACAGGAGACAGTACAGTGCTCCTCCTCCACCCCCACGCCACAGCCCACTCCCATTGCCGCTGTTCCTTCCGCCCTGGTCCTCGTGCCCACCAGGCATGCGGCACTAGCCAACCTATCACAGACTGCAAGGGGGGAGGGTCTTCCCTGCGACCTCTGATGCTCAGTGCCCTGCAAGGATACAGAGGAGGGAATTTCTATCACCCTCTGAGATCACGGGAAGTTTTTTTTTTTGGTGGGGGCGAAGGGGAGTGAACTGTGCTCCTTCAGGAGGATGGAGGTGGGGGAGACAGGCAGGTGGCCACAGTATACTGAGGTTAGGTCAAACCCCTTCCACCCAAAACTGGCCTCTTTGCTTCCAACTGCTGCCACCCCACCTCCATCCCATAATCTGGGTCCACTCAGACGTGCCTGAGCTCAAAGGCTGCTCTGATGCATCTACCTGTGTGACCATGATAGCGACACGACCTCGGTGGTCCTCAGTTTCCCCATTTGTAATGTCAGCATGTCCACGGTGAGGCTTAATGATGACCAAGCTTACAGTACGCCCAGCACAGAGCCCCACTCGGAGGAAAGTTCCTTCCCAGGTAGCTGTCAGCATTACAGGTATGGGGAGGGGGCCAGAGCACAAGAGGGGTGGGGGTAGGGGCTCGCCCAGGAGCCCCGCCGCGGGGCCATCGGGTCGCCGCTCTCTGCGCTGTGACAGCAGCGAGACAAAGTCCTGGGCGCTGCCCCCGCTCCTCCTCGCCGCATCGCCAGCGGCTCCCCGACCTCGGCGCCCGGCACGGAACGGGTGCGGGGCTGGGCCAGGGCCGGCCCAGGGGAGCGAGTGGGGCGGGGCCGCCGCGCCCGCTCCCCCTCCCCGCCGCCCGCCGCCCTCTCCTCCTCCCGCCGCCCGGGCTCAGAGCGGCGGCAGCAGCGGCCGCGGCGACAGCTCCGGCTCCGGCTCCGGCTCCCGCTCCCGCGCCGGCCCCGCGCGCCCGGGCCCCGCGCCCCGACCCCGCCGCTGCGCCTGCCGGGGGCCTCGGGCGCCCCCGCCGCCCGCCTCACGCTGAAGTTCCTGGCCGTGCTGCTGGCCGCGGGCATGCTGGCGTTCCTCGGTGCCGTCATCTGCATCATCGCCAGCGTGCCCCTGGCGGCCAGCCCGGCGCGGGCGCTGCCCGGCGGCGCCGACAACGCCTCGGCCGCCTCGGGCGCCGCCGCGTCCCCGGGCCCGCAGCGCAGCCTGAGCGCGCTGCACGGCGCGGGCGGCTCGGCCGGGCCCCCGGCGCTGCCCGGGGCGCCTGCGGCCAGCGCGCACCCTCTGCCGCCCGGGCTGCTCTTCAGCCGCTTCCTGTGCACGCCGCTGGCGGCCGCCTGCCCGTCGGGGGCCGAGCAGGGGGACGCGGCGGGCGCGGCGCCCGGCGAGCGCGAGGAGCTGCTGCTGCTGCAGAGCACGGCCGAGCAGCTGCGCCAGACGGCGCTGCAGCAGGAGGCGCGCATCCGCGCCGACCAGGACACCATCCGCGAGCTCACCGGCAAGCTGGGCCGCTGCGAGAGCGGCCTGCCGCGCGGCCTCCAGGACGCCGGGCCGCGCCGCGACGCCATGGCCGACGGGCCGGGGGAGTCGCCCGCGCTCATCCTCGAGCTGGAGGACGCCGTGCGCGCCCTCCGGGACCGCATCGACCGCCTGGAGGTGAGCGCCGCGCGCCGTCGGGGGAGCCGCCTGGGCGGGAGGGGCCGCGCGATCGCGGCGGGCACTCATGCGCGTCCCGGGCCGGTCGCCACCGCCCGCGGGTCTCCCACCCTCGGGTCTCCCGTCTGTGTAACGGGGAGCGTCATTCCTTCGCTGGCAGGGCGGGAGGATTCCATCAGGGAACGGGGACAGGCGTCTGGCACAGTGACTGCGGCACAGGGGTGCTCCCGAAAGGCTCATTTCGGACACTTTTCCCTCGCCGGACACCTCTGCAAGCCTCGGCTTCCACGTCTGTTAAATGGGTGTAACAGTGTCCACTGGTAATGGAAATTGATTACAACATGGGTGTGTAAAATGCTCGGCATGGACTGGGATCTCATTAAATGTGCCTTTCATTTCTTTCTTCCAGACACCCCCAAATCATCACCAGCCCCACGCTCAGTCTCTATAGTCAGGAGACAGGATGCCTGTCTGAGGGACTCGGGGTGCTCCTCTCCTTCCAAAGAGCCAGGGACAGAGTGCCCTGTAAGACGAACCTGGGTGCCCCTCACTGTCTCCCATCCCTGAGTCCCCCACCCCGGCTAGGACTACTGACCACACCTTGGCAGGAGCTCAGATGCCTGGAAGCCCGCAGCTGTGGGGTGGGCGCGGGGTGGAGAGTAGGGCCCCACGAAAGCTCCTCCTCCTCTACCCACCTTTTCCAGGCTTTCCTGGCCCAGGCTCCGGGTCAGAGGCAGCCCTGGGACAGGGAGGAGCCTGCACTTGGCTGTCATGTGACCCTGGGCCAGTCGTTTCCCCCTTGGAGTCCCACAGCCACCTTTTTCCCGTGAGAACAAATATAGGGTCCCCAAAAGGGTGAGTCAGACTAGGTAAGACATGTTGACCACCCTCAGCCATGGACTGATTTCCAGACCACAAGGAAGGAGGGTAGCAAAATTCCTTCTGTGGTAGGAGGGGGAGAAAGAGGCCAAAGCACCCGCTGCCACTCGGTATCTCTCCCAGACAGAGAGCAGCAGGCAAGTGGGAGGAAGGAGAGACGTCGCAAGGAAGTAAATGCAGCCCCCTGTCCCGACCTTGTGGCTCCCTAAGTTAAATCCTGGGTGGGCAGCCTCGGGCCATGCCCATGTGGTATGGAAGGTTGACTGAAGATGCTGTGGTCCTGCAGCCTTCCAGAACATCACCCAGGGCGGCAGAGCGGAGCCAGGCAGCCACTGCAGCCAGCCCCTCACCTTGCAGATGGGAAGACCGGCTCAGAAACCTCTGACCAGGAGTGGCAGAGGCAGGAGGAAAGCCAGGCCCGCGCCCCCTCTCCCCCGCCGCCAGCTCTGAGGGGTTTCTAGGATGAGAGAGTCAAGAGCAGGAAAATAATCAGGGAAAAACTCAAAGTCCACAGTGAAGGGGAGTCTCAGTTTCCTCACCTGTAAAATGGGGATAGTAATAGCACCTACCTTATTGGGGTGTTAGGAGGATTAAGTAAGTAAGTTTATATGAAGGGCCCAGAATGGTTATGCTCAATCAATTTAAGTGACTGCTATTCTTATCATTAAGCTATAATATTACTAATTTTTAAAATACAGCCAAAAATCAAAATAGGAACAAACCCACCTTTTAGGAAACAGGTTTTATTAATGTTAAAAAAAAAAAAGATTTGATTGTCAATAAACTCCCTGTTGCCTGCCATAGCCCCTGCCCCCACACCCAGATGGCACAGGTGGCTCCTCCCACGTCTGGGACTGGCAGGGCAGGACTTGGCCTGGACCTGTTCCCCCAGCAACTGCAGCACTTGGCAGGGTGGCCTCCCTTCCGGTCGGCCTGCTGAGCTTGGGGGGATCCTGGCGGCTGGGATTTGGCAACAGGTCAGCCTTCCAGGCTGGGGGAGCCCTGGCTTCCCCACATACACTCCTCCTTTTTTCTGAGTGCAACGGCCATGGACCGAGAAAGGCCGGGGGCTGCTTGCCCACCAAATCTGCCTTCTGAGCATGGCAGCAGCCACAGCCGATCTCTTTGGGGCCTTTGGGAGAGGCTGGGGTCTGGAGCCCAACAGATGAAGGGCCAGACATCTGGCCTCGGCTGGGTCCTGTGCACCCTTTAGTCACTGTCTGATTTCTCCCCTCTGTTCTCATCTAATATTCTCATAACCCCCAGATTTGCGAGGTCTTCTTTCTCTCCCACAGGGCGCGCTGAAAGTGCTCTTGGTAACGTCCCCGAAGTTGATAAACTGAACGGGGACTTTTCAGTCCTTACCTTGTTGGACCCTTTGTGACATCTGACCCCGCTGATCATTTCATCCTACAGATCTCCGTGCCCTGGGCTTCTAGATGCCTCTGTCGCTGTCCCTCCTTCTCCCTCTCTGCTGCCTCTCTGTCTCCTTGCAGGGTCCTCCTCCTTTAAGGTCTGTTCCCCTCTTGGCTCTCACTTTCCCTGAGGCTTCCAACACCCACTCCCCAGTGGGCCCCCATGCCAAAGCCCAGTCTCCAGCCCAGGGCTCCTTCCCGAGCTCCAGACCCACCCATCCCCCTGCTCCCTGACATCGGCCCTGGATGTGCCACCGGCCCCCAGCCTCACTGTTCCACCTCTGCTCCGTGTGCTCTGAGAAGACGTCCTTGGCTCCACCTTCGGCCCCCTGGTCCTGGTCGGCCTCCTCTCTGTGACGCAGCCTCTCGCTGGTCTCCCACCTGCAGGCACACCCCTCCTTCTGTCCTCCGGGCAGCCCCTCCATCTTCCTTAAGCCCACACGGGCTCCCCTGCAGGGTGCGCACCTCGGCCCACTCCCACGCTGCACTTCGGATGCAGCCCTTCTCTCCTGGCCCTTCCCTCGGCTCTTTCTGGCCTCTACCTTGCTCACCCCGGCACAACCCTGATCCTCATCGAAGAGTCTCTCTGAGGACACTTCTTCCCAGAGGCCTTCCCCGATCACACACTGTCCCCTTCCTGCCCCACCCAAGCCCCCATAACCCTCACATTTCCTGCCCATCTCCACCTGGCACAGTCCTGCATCCCCCCTCCCCCCACGGACTGACTACAAAAGGGGAGGACAGGTTGGGCTGTCATCTTTTCATGCTTGTTATTGTTGTTCATTGAGAAAAGTCAAAAGGTTTTTTTGGGAGGAAAATCACCTTTACTCGCGTTATTTTCTCCCCTCTGCAGTCCCCTTCGGTCCTCATCCGCATGCAGCCATTGTCACAGAGCCGCCGTGTAATTACCGTTTTAATGACCGCCTTAATGCCCTGGACGCGTCTGCGGCGCCGCCGTCCATCGGTCCACTTGACCGGCTCCTGTTACTGGAGACGTAGGTTGTTTCTAATTATTTTTCTTCTAGATGCTCCTCGCAGGATCCATTTCATGCAGAGAGTTGTTTGTTTTTTTCTTTTTAAGTCTGTTGAATTATTCCTTTAGGCGGGATTCCCAGGAGTGGTATTACTGGGTCAGAGGATATTGACTTTTTGTGGCTGTGGCCAAGAACCACTTTCCAAGAGAGTCGGCCCATTTATGTGGCGACGGGCTATGTAAGCATGTTCCAGTGTTCCATTTTGGTGCTAATTTAATATATGTATACAGTGGAACTTCGAGATTGATTTAATATATTTCTTGGACATAGACCATATGCTTAACCCAGCCTGGCAAGCTAGTGGCCTCCCCTCATCCTAGAGTGGGAGCCACGTAACCATTACAGCGCACGCTTACCGTGCGCTCCCCATGTGCATTATCTCATTTAATCCTCATAAAATCTCTTTGAGGCAGGTGCTATTCTATCCCCCTTTTAGCTAGGTTTAGAGAGCTTAAGAAACTGGCCCCAAGTCACACAGCAGTGGAGCCCTGTGTGCGGCTCCAGAGCCTTGTTCTTCATTAACTCCAGTCTCGGCTGGAGGGGTCAGGCCTCGCCCACCTTCAGGAGAGTGAGGGAGACAGGTGAGGACGGCGCCGGTGCCGGACACTGCCTGGACCGTTTCTGTCTCAGCGCACCTGGAGCGAGAGGGACGAAGGCCAGTCCTCAAAGGTGTGTCCTGCTGGCTGGCAAGATCATCGGGAGACTCACTGTGGGACTTTTGCTGCTGTGGCCAATACCGGCTAAGTCTCGCCGTGCACTGGCTGCGTCTGCAGCAGCCTGTGCAGGCTTCAGTCTCGTGAAGCAGGCCGTGTACGGTCCCATCTCACAGGTGAGGAAGTGGAGGCTCAGAGAGTGTGAGGGACGCAGACTAGCAGTCCACCTGGGCTCACATTCCAGCTCTGTCATTTGAGACCTTAGGCAAGATGCTTAGCTTTCTCAGCCTCAGTCTCCTATCTGTGAAATGGAGATTAAAAACAGCCCCTCCCTCCTGGGATTAAATGAGATCGTAGCAGAGCCTGTGGCATAGAGCCTGGCGGGGAGTAAGCGCCTGGTGAATGATCACTGGCGTGAGGGTGGGGGAGCTGCCCTCCAGCCACCTGCAGACCCCACTGGCCCCTCTCCCTGTGGCTGGCCTCTCTCCATCTCCAGATGGGACACCCACCCTGGGAGGCCCTGAACCTCCTATTCCTGCCACTGGTGGCACCTTCATTCTAGGAAGAAACATGGATTTTTAAACCCCAGCTTTGCCACTTGCTTACTGTGACCTCAGAAAATCGCTTCTCCTCTCTGATCCTCAGTTTGCCCTTCTGTCGAATGGGAGAGGGGGGCAGCCTGTCCCAGAAGATCCCTCTTGCTCTGTCATCCTGTGCCGTTGAAGCCTCCCATCCCCAGCAGCCCATCCTCCAGGAAAGGAGACCCTTTCCTGCTGTTGCAAGCCTGGCAAGAGCTGCTTAGGCAGAAGGCAGAGCCTTACCTGTGGGACATTTTTTTTTAGGTATATCTTACATTCAAGATACGTAAAAGCTCACGTCTCTGAATTATAAAGGACACAGAGCTTAAGTGGACAGTTCAGTGAAGATGTGTGTGTGGGTACACCTACGAAAGCACCACCCGGCTCAGGACTCAGAACATTTCCAGCACCACAGAAGGCTCCCCTGTGCCCCCCAAAGTC